GGAAAACTTAACTTAGGAAGGACAGGTGGCCTGGTATTGTGCCGGAAAGGGAAAGATGACTAGAGAAGAAAGGATGATGGAATACCCCTTCAAAGGCTGGAAACCACGACGACTCAGAGAAGGAATAAAAATTCATATACCAACAGGGAACGGATGGAGAGGAACCACGTGTGATTGGATTGGGTTTGAGGTTGTCCGGGACTTGTCATATGTATGGATAGAGCGAATTTGGAACCCGATAAGGGAAGATGAAGGTTGGGATGATATAGCAGAAGGCAAGGTAGAGTCAGTTGGAACGATTGTCCTTTCCGAGGATGGATGGCACCTGTTTTGCACCATGTTAGCAATGGGACAGGACCMRATGTGGCTTCTAGGGGATGCAGAGGCCCGAACCCGAAAGGAAGGCAAGTTGTTCGCCAACGAGGGATGGGACGAAGTTAGTAGCAGAGTTGTGATGGGAGGATGGAAGGAACTTACGCCTCCAAGTCTACGGATAACGGCTTGGGTACCGGAATTCATAGCCGAGTGGTTTGGGGGGTTTGAGCACATCTTAGAAGTAGTCGACTCCATGAGAAAGGTGCATATAGAGTGTGTCTGGCTGACTGAGGAGTTCTATAGGCTCTCATTGAAATATGAGCCCTTCTACGTAGATAAGGCCAAGGAAGTCATCATCGTCCTAAGAGTAGGCAGGTATGACCGCCTAGAGGTAGAGGCGGAGTCTTGGGACGCCATAGTTAGCCGGGAGGCGGCGGCCGCACCCTCCTATGTAGACGATGTTTTTAAACTATTTGAGGTATTGTGGTTCGACTGAATGAGGCCAAGGGATCGAACACCGCGAAAAGGCCTGAGTATGGAGGGTGGTTGTGAATTGAGGTGTAACATAAGAAAGGGAGTGTGTACATTAGGCCGTAAATGATGCATAAGGATCGAAACAAGGGGGAAGTGGCAGCAACTGGAAAAGGGGGGGGAGGGTAGAATTGAACATGTATGAGTTGGGGATAGCGGCAAGAACCAGTGTACGATAAGTAGGGAGGGTTGAAAGACTAAAACACGAAAGACATGAAATCTCGGTGGGTGCAGCAATCGGACTAAGAAAGCAAGAAAGGATACATTGCGAGATGGTCCGGCGAATGACGTTCTGGGAGGATAGACCTCGTGGGATCCTGCCACCAAGAATATCAGAAGGCAGGGTCGAAATAAGCCTGCCGGCAAGAAATGCGGTAAGCAATCCGATAATGGACTGGGTGGGGGTAGAATTGGTGGACGATATGTTGTACCTAGTAGTGGAGCTGGAATGGCGTGCGAGAGGGGAGTTCGGGGGCGTAGACTTGAACCTCCCAGGGCGTGTACATGCGACGGGATCCTTACACCTGTCGAAAGGAGGATGGCGGACCTTTGGGATTGCTTTTGGCTTCCGGGGATGACCCCGTGCGAATGTTCGAAGGGGCATGGCAAATAACCTGGCGAGAGGGGTTTGAGTTTGCAGACCCGGAACGAGATGACGTAACGGCAGAGGTAAGAGTCGCCGCGACGGGGGTTTTCGAGCTGCCAAACGAGGTCATACGGATGAGTCTACCACCCTTCCTGCTAAGATGAATGGGAGGCATAGAACGAGTGGAGCAGGCGGTGACTGCCGTAACTAGGTTAAATCTTGACGAAGCATTAATGTATCGAAAATACTATCGGGCCTTCCTAGAGATGGGGCCTTTCGGGGACGAACAAGGGCGCGAGGTGCTTTGCATTCTACGAGCAGCGGTAAATGCTAGGCCAAGAGTCCCACAAATAAGTGATGAGATGATGTGGAGAGTCATCCGCCGAGAGGTAGGTCGGGGCGCGGCCTACATAGATGATCTTTACCGGTTGTACGAACAGCCAGAGGAGGCTACTGCTCTCGGGGATATAGAGGGATAGTTGGGACTAGAAAAGGGAAATGAAAACACGAAGGGCAAGGGAGACAGTAGGTGGGCAGATTCTGAAGATTGGCTGTAACCGTTTCTATGTGGACTATGCAGGGAATCACCAAGGTAACAATGGCAGCAAGACGAGAGCGAGTGGAACGTCAGCCCCGTGTGCGAATGGAACGCCAGCCTCGGTATCCCGGACCGCCCTGGAACAACGGTGGACGATGGGAAGTATCCCTCCCGTCGAGTTCTACCTATCGAGGGTTCGACACAGAATGGCGGGTCGTGACTTTGGGAAGGGACGCCGCCTTCATGTTGGTAGAATGTCGGTGGACAGGGATGAGACTCAACCGAAGACCCGGAGATGATCTGTTTTCCAATCTGGAAGTTACCGGGACCATGTATCTGCCTGAGATCGGCTGGCACTCATTGGGGGTAGAGATAGCACAAGGTCACGAGTTGACACCGGTCTTTCAAAGGGCCGCCCGGACGTTGACCCGGATAGGACAATTGGTCAGGGGAAGAAGGAACGTGGGCTTACTTACCCGGGTGGAAATGGGAGGTTGGAGGGAGTTAAGGGCACCGACCACACCGCTGAGATGCCGAGTGCCCCATTTTATGATAGACCTCGTCTTCGGAAGCCTTGCGAGGGCGCGGGAGCTGGCAGACTCGGCGATAGTCTGGGCATGCCACTTTCCCTCCCTTACCATTGGGATGTTCTACGATGTCGTTGTGGAGCACGGGCCGTTCTGGGGAAAGAGGGCCCACAAATTACTAGAAGTCGTCCACATCCTAATATTTTGTGCGCCCCGGCTCGACTGGACGGGGTGCGAACGCATAATCCAAAGGGAAATCGAGATAGAGGATAATTATTTAACGGGGGTGGCTCAACTATTCGAGGAGCCTACCGAACCGTAAGGGCCACGAAGGCGAGAACAACTAGCACCCGCAGGCGAGCCAGTAGGGCAAATCAAGCACAGTCCGCTACATTCGAAAGCCACCGACAGAAATAGGAAAGGGGGGGGCGGCTCGGACCCGGATGATCAATAACCGCCAGACGGGGAACACCGCGCGAGAAAACTTTTTCCAGCGGGTTGCCCAACCCGGACCCCTACGCACCGACCAACGGGATAAGGGCGCTCTAAACAAGCCGGTGATAAGGGAAGTTAAGTCATGCCCTTAGCTCAATGAGGCATCAGAGCCGGATGCGGCTCCATATTAAGGAAGCCATCAGAAAATGGGAATGGGGAAAAGCCTAATTACCAAGTAAAAGGATAAACCAACAGGATCGGAACCTAGGGAACCTGAAATGCCTCGCACTGAGTTTGTTCTGGGGAATCCTTTGGTTATGCAGAAGTAGGCAAGTATGGCAACAGAGGACGAGACGGGTAATCATGAAAACGAGGGAGGACCAGGCTTAGAAGGCAGTGCTGAGCAAAGCAAGGAAGGGCAGAAGGACGGGGAATCAGAAAATCCGGATGGCACCAAAGGGAACCGGAAGGAAATGTCCTCCGGAGAGAGCTCGGAAAAAGTCGGGGGAAGCAGACAGGGGACCCAAGAAAACAAGGAAGGCAAGAATAAGGATAGGGGGAGCCCCAGAAACTCGGAGGGAGCTGTGTCTAAGAAAGTAAGGGTCACGAACGCGAGGCGCAAACTAGCAGAAATAGATAAAAGGACCGCGGAATACAAGGCAAGGTTAATTGAGGCAATGATGATTGGGAACGAGGAAAACTCTCTGCAGGAGGTACCGCGGGACGAACGGAAAACCAGTCGGGGAGAAACTCGGGCAAGGGGACAAGGGTAGTGACTGTGGGGGAACGCCGAGCAAAAGAAGGAAAGAGAGAGAGAACTCGCCGGAAATGGAGACAGAGAAGGCGACGAACCCCTTAGCCACAAACAGTAGGGCTAGCCGTCTGCCGACCTCGCCATCGACATCGCGAGGATGCGAAGGGCTCTGGAGCCTCAGAGAAAAGGTGCTACTAGGTTGGTTCGACCCGGAAGGAACGGCAAAGACTAGAGGGGGGCAGACAGCCAGCAAGGAAGGGTCAGATACCAGCATGGCAGGCGAGGCCAGTAGCTCCGAAGGCAGCCTAAGGAAGATAGAATCATCCCTCACACGAGCACTGAACAAGAACCAAGGCTATCTGGCAGACACTAAGAAAAAATTGACTTTCGATGGAGCAAACATCACGGAGTTCATGATCGACTACCAGAACCTAGTTACGTTACTAAAGTGGACCGAGGAGGAAAATATGGACCATCTAGGACAGCATGTGTCGTTAAGCCTAGGACGGGACATAATGACCATTGTAGCCGCAAGCCGGTCTTGGAAGGAGACCCGGGATGTGATGATGAGTAAGTACCTAGCGGCAGAGAAAATGGCAACGGAGGCCGACGTAGCGGCAATTCAGAGGAAGAACTTCGCAACGTACAATGATTTCCTACGTGAATTTACTATAGTAGCACTAAGGATCCCCGGGGTCACGGACCGGATAATGAGCAAATATTTCCTCAGGCAGTTCTCCGAGTTCGACAAAGACAAGATCCTGTCAGCTTACAAACAGACGAGCAAGTTCGTAAACACGCGGGATGTTGATTTTAGCACGGTAACGGATCTGGCTGAGAAAATGATAGTAATAGAAACGTTGGCCTTGCTCAAGGAAGGAGAGATCATAGATCTGACCGGTAGGGCGGGCGACAAGGTAAAGAAGGGGATTGAAAATCTACATGAACGGGTGCACGGGGTCGACAATAAAATTGAAAGGATGGAAGACGCGTTACTGGTTATGCAGGCGCAAGTATCCCGACCAGCCCTCCCTCCCGAGGAAGCTGTGGTTCCGCCAGGTGTAGCCAACCGGGGATTCGAACGGAGAGATCCTGCTAACGAGCAATGCAAGTACTGTACCGCAATAGGACATTATGTGCGCACGTGCCCAAAGCTCAACCATGATATTCTGAAAAGAAGGTGTACCAGGTCATTAAAGGGGGAGATATTTGGACCACAAGGGGAACGGGTGAACTGAAACTCACCAGGAGGGATGCGACGAGCCATTATCATGCTCAATGGGTTAGAAAGTCGTAGAAGCCGAACCGGTGGGTGAGATCATCTGGGATCAACTCCGGGGGCGCGGGCCGCAGACCAACTTTATTTTGGAAAGCGACGGACGTGATAGGGTGAATGCAACCACTCGACTGGGAACGGTCGGGAGGAGGATTAACCGTGACACCATTATGCAGGAGGTCACCGGAAGCTCCGAACCCCAGGCAGAGCCTGAGGTCGAGGAACCAGAGAAAGTCTATGGGAAGCTTAGGGAAGAGGAGTCTGCGGACAAGGTTACCGCCGCTAAGAAGAAGTTTAGGTATCAAATTTCGATCTTAACCTTGCCTGAGCTCGACGACACCATTAGCAAGTTACTAGGAACCATGGTGTCGGTGTCTTTTCGGACCATGCTGCAGGCTAGCCCTAGGTTGCTCAAAGGACTCAGAAAACTGTTGACTCGGAGGCGAGTAGAGATAGGCGACAACCCCGAATTACCAGAAGGGGAGAGGGAGGAGGAAGCTCCGCAAGAAGTGGCTAACCTTCAGAGGAGTCACTGGGACTTGGAGGATCTCGAAAAAGCCTTTGCAGACATTCGTTTGAGCTTGCCCGACCGGGAGAGCGACGAAGTCCTGAGATCACCACCCGGGACAAAGCTTAGCTTTCATGCACTGCCCGTAGGGAAACTGAAAATCCAAATCGGGAGTCATCATACCGATGCATTAGTAGACGGGGGAGCAGAAATCACTTTCGTAAGGAGAGATTTCACAACGATCACGGAATGTACGGTAAACAAGGAAGTAACAGGGAGTATCCGGGGAGCTGGCGGGGAAATCCCGTTCGCTGGGTACGTCACAAAGTGTGTTGTGAAGGCAGGGGTCAGGGAATCTATCTGGTCGTTTCAGCGGATGACCGAAATGGAGGAAATGGACCACGACATAATCCTCGAGAGACCGTGGTGCGTGAACGTAGAGATGATAGGCATGCACTTGCATGATGGTTCGTACATGGTAGACATAGAGGACCCTGTGACCGGCCGGGGAGAGCTCATCCGACTCCTTGGAACGGGAGGAGACCCCCCGAAGGAGAAATTGGCAACATGGTCGTCGTCGTTCGAGGATAGCACGCGAAAAGGGGCTTTCGCACGGATGGAGGGTATGAGAGAAAGGGTAGAAATCATGATTGAGGAAACATTCAACAAGAAGGAGTGGATCAAGATGGGTCTGCCCCAGAAGAAGAGGAGGCAGGAGGACGAGGTCCTAGGTGTTATGGTAGCGGAAAAGGAGTCAGAGGTCGAATTTGGTGCTAGCCTGCCCAAACGGAAAGAAGTACGCATAGACGTGCTAGAAATTGCACTCGAGATCCCCGATCTATTGCAACTCATCAAGGCCCCCAGATACCACAAGGTCGGAGTGGATTCGGCAGCCTTGGCCAAGTTCGAAAGAGAGGTGCAAAAGGGATATTGCCTGAACGGGAAACTAGTTAGTATTCAACCACGAGTCGTAGAGGCGACGGGGGCGATTCCAACTGTTCATTTTTTAGGAGAAAGATCCCGAAAGGAAGTGTTCGAAAGTACAAACTGGTAGGGAAGAAAGCAAAACCAGTCTCGATCTTGCTAAAGACATCAAAGAAAGAGGCTATGGAGAAGGAGGAAGAGGTCCTTCGAGTGATCCGAGAATTAGGGCGACGGAGGGACATCGGATACCAGATGAGGTAGCTGACACAATGAAGATAAGGATAGACGGGTTCTTAACAGAAGAAGAAACCCGGCTGATCAAAAGAATCTGCCAGGAGTTTCACCTGGCATTTGCCTTTAGTGATCACCAGAAGGGACGACTGGATGCGAAGCTGATCCCTCCGGTCAGAATCCACACAGTAGAACATGAATGCTGGAATGACAAGGGGCCGTCCTATGAATTTGGGATAGCAGGAGAAGTAACAGACCTCCTCCGAGCGAAAATGGACTCCTTTGTTGCGGAGCCTACGGCGTCGCCATACGCAAACCGGTGGTTCGTCTTTCGGAAGCCTAACAAGACACTAAGGTGGATTCAGGACCTGCAGAAGTTGAATGCGGTAACCATCCGCGATGTTGGCTCGCTACCTCAGGCTGACTTATTAGCAGAATCGCACGCCGGTCGGAGCATTTACTCCTTGATAGATTTGTACTCAGGGTACGACCAGCTTCCATTGGATGTTCGAGACAGGCCATACACCGCTATGCACACCCCCGTAGGCCAGCTACAGATGCAAGTGACCCCTATGGGATTCACAAACGTGGTGGCCGAAGCGCAACGCAGGATGCTCGTCGTGGCCGGGGACATGTTCCCAGAAAAATGTGAGCCTTACATCGACGACAATCCGATCAAAGGCGCGCAGAAGAAGGACGAGACGGAAGTCCAGCCAGGGATCCGACGTTTTGTGTGGACCACCTGCAGGACATCAAGGACTTACTCCGCCGGTTCCAAGTATACAACATTACAGCTAGTGGACTAAAGAGTATCCTAGCAGTACCGGAGGTAACTATACTAGGATTTCGTTGCGGTGCTTAGGGCAGGAAGCCGGATCCGGCAAAGACCGACAAGATATCACAGTGACCGACACCGCTGCGCACGACGACGGAGGTAAGGGCATTCCTAGGCGTAGTCGGCTGTTGGAGGATCTTCATTAAGAACTTTGCCAAGATTGCTGAGCCTATCCGGGCTATGATCAGGGAAGAAGGAACCATGGATTGGACGGAGGAGCGAGAAGGAGCTGTCCAAAGGCTCAAGGACATATTGACAGCTTAGACAGTCGCCCTGTCCGCGCCTTGTTTTAATGACGAAGTGGGACGACCCTTCATCCTAGAGACGGATGGAGGACCTTTGGCCATAGGAGGTGTGTTGATTCAAAGGGATGAGGGAGGAAAAAAGAGACCGATTAGGTTCGAAAGTAGAACCCTAAACTCCGCAGAACGGCGGTACTCACAATTCAAGAAGGAAGTCCTAGCCATCCTGCATTGCCTTAAGACCTTCCAGGCCTACCTATTTGGGAGGCGGTTCATCTTAAGGATCGATCCGGCGAAGGTCGTAGGGGCTCTAAAGAATTACAGGCCTATAGATCCGACGGTAGGGAGGTGGGTAGGATTCATCTGGCAGTTCGATTACAAGATCGAACGGATTGCTGGAATCCGCAACAAGGCAGACGGGCTGAGTCGGGTTTGCATCACTCTCGAAGTGATGGAGGATGCAGAGTCCATAGCCGCATTCCTCGAATACGAAGGAGGGACTCTCACGGTGGATAACGAAATGATGAGCAGGGGATGCACATCGGGAGAACTATTGATCCAGACTTTGGAGAAGGGGGCACCTGCCATAGTAGCAGAACTTAGAGAAGGACCAGTTACCACTCGAGGACGCAGAGAAAAAAAGGACTCATTGGAAGCGATAGTAGGACCGAAAGAGGAACTTATGGCAATGGCGGTCGAGGGAGGCCGGGAAGCAGTAATGAGCTTAGTGGAATCTTGGGAAAGGAAGGAGTTGCAATGGGTGGTAAACCAGATGCAGGAAGGAAAGGATGGGGACAAGGAAGGAGAGGAGTTTTTCTATGTCCAATCATACGAAGGGCTCTTTCGGGAGATCGGGTTGTTGTTGGTAGGAAACAAACAACCTACGAAAGTCAGTATTAAGGCAAGAGAAGAAGCCGAAAGGTACATCCTAAGAGGCGAGTATTTGTTTCGAAGGGAGGAAGGTGCTATGCCCAGAAGGGTTGAGTGCGGAAGACCTAGGCAAGTAGACGTTATCCAGGCAATGCACGACGTATTAGCTGGAGGTCATCGGTCGTCCAAAGGAACACTTGCAAAGATAACGCCASTCTATTATTGGTCAGGCATGGCAGGCATGGTCGCCGTATACTGCCAGACTTGCCTTATTTGCCAAGAACGAAGCTCGGTGCGGGTCTTCGAGCCGGTTAGACCAACGCGAGTGCTAGGGCCGGGGCATCTGGTCCACCTCGACCGTGCGGTCATGCCTGTATCAACAGATGGGTACAGGTATATCCTGGATGTGCGAGACAACCTGAGCGGGTTCGTGGAAGCAGTCGCCCTCAAAAAAAAGACAGGGAGGAGTGTGGCGGACTGGATAGAAGACTTCTACTTGAGGTATTCGTTCGTCAGGAGGTTTATAGCAGACAATGGACGGAGTTTGTGAACCAAGAAGTATTGGGGATGCTTAAGAGACTCTGTGTACCGATCAAACTCATCGAGCCGTATCACCCCGAGGCCAACGCACCTGTGGAAAGGGGGCACCGAACCTTGAAGAACACGATTGCGAAGCTCGCAGCGGACCATCTGGGGAATTGGCCTAGGTATCTTAAGCAGGCCGTCTTCGCAGAGAATATGACCCCTAAAAGAAAAACAGGATGTATCCAGGCAGAGCTGTGGTACGGAAGAGAGATCGATTTTCTTGTGGAAGCCTTGGTACCTACCTGGAATAGGTTAGATGATGATCCGCAAATGACCACTGAAGATTTAATCGAGGCAAGATGTCAACAGATCCTTAAGAACGAGGAGGTCATGGAAGATATCGCCAACCGGGTACTCGACAACAGAATGAGGGACAAAGCAAGGTGGGACCAGGTTAAGAATGTCAGAAAGGAGCCACTTTAAGTGGGACAGATGGTATCGTTAAGGAACTCGACACTAGAAAGTACTTGGTCGGGACAGCTGGGAAGGAGGTTCAAAGGCTCCTACCGGGTCGCCGAGCGGGTGGGACTGAACACCTTCGAACTGGAAGATTTGAATGGAACTGGATTGAAAGGACCCTTCCCGGGGCGACGATTGGTCAGGTTTCTAAGTCGGGACCCAGTGGAACAATGGCTTCAGGAGGCCGAAGATAAGGAAACTGAGGAGCCACAAGCTAAAGACTGACCACAGCCTTGCCCACACTATGGTTTGTCGTTGACCATGTTCATGAGACTGTCATTTTTTTGGGGACTGGCGCTTTGGCTTGGACTGACAGAGGTTGAAAGGCAGCGTGACTTGGGGGCTTGCAATATCTGGCTTGTGTGACAACGGGAAGGGATGTCTGGGGCATTGTACCGTAGTTTTTGACCGGAAAAAAATGGGGTCATCACAAACGACGCATTCGCATGTATAATAGGGGCCTGCTGCGAAGGATGTTGGGGACATTCTGAGAAAAATGGGGGGACTACCTACCAGACCGGGGGAATGGGTGCATGAGGGGCTTTGCGGGTGTTGTTTTGTAATACAGGGTCTAAAACAAAAGAGAAGATGAAGTTCGGTGACGAAAATGACAGCGGGGCAATCAACAGGCCTACCGAAGGGGAGGAAGCAGGACCAAGCCGAGGGAGGAGAGCGGCAAAGAGAAAGTTGTATATAGGACTCATGGGTGGCCCAGAGGTAGGCAGGGAAGGAAGGAAATGCTTGTGTAGGAAACCCTTACCCCTCCGCGAGGGAGAAGGTATAGAAATCTCATCTGACAGTGAGGAAGGGAAGGAAAAGGCAGAAGTGGAAGAAGGAGGCAATGCAGAGATGGGGAATAAGGTTCAGGTCTCTGACGAGGAAGGAGTTAACAGGGGCAAGCGACGTGAGACTTGGCATGGGGAAAGCGAGGGGGGACAAGACATGCACGACAAATATGAGGAGGGTGAGGAAAGAATGGAGAACCCGCTTGAAGGACGAAGCGGCCACGACAGTTGCGAGGGGTATGGGACGGGGACAGAGATCCCTTTTACCTACGATCTTAAGAACCTTGCAAGTGGGTATAGCCCCATACAGACAGAAGACGAGGAGGACGAGGAATAGGATGTGCGAGAAGTTATAGAAATCAGCAGCGGGGATGAGAGGGATGAGATCTCGAAGCCTAGGGAAGAGGGGCGGCCTCCGATGCACCAGCCAGGCGATGGGGCTTTCAGATGGGAAGACGAGTTTGAGTCAACGCCCAGTCATTGGTTTCAGCAATGGACCAATGTGATCAGACACGAATGGATTATCAAGACTCGGGAACTCGCAAGGACAGAGGTTGAAGCCACACCACTGGATTTTTTCAACGAGGCAGAGTTACGAAAAATTGTGGGGATGAAAAGAGAAATCGAGACCTATGGCCTTGGGGTTAGAAAGCTTGCCGAGGAACGGGGTGGACAAGGGACTGGGCAAGACGAGGCGCAAGGCAGCAATATGAACTAGGTGTTGACTTAGCATTGAAAATGATTGCTGCTTTTCTGTCTGCGGAAACATAAAAATGACAAGAACGTGTACAGTATGGGCAAGCTTGCTAAGGATGAAGTAAAAAGAGGGCCAGCTAAGGCTGTGTCACGATAAGATAGAAGATAGTTTTTGAGGTTACTTTTTGGATGAGCTACCTTGGGTACATAAGACAAAGACATGGGATTTGGGTTGAGACCAATTGGGAGAGGGTGTATTGTGAATTCTGGATGGAATAAGGATTCTGCTTTTGAGAGGGGAAAACCTTGAGTACGCATTGACGAGCGAACCATGGCATTGAATGATTGGTCGAGTACAAGAGAGGTTAGGGAACCTATGGGTTAAGGGGCGTGAAGAATACTCCTTCCCTAGGAGCCTAATCCAACTGAGTCATGAATGAGACTGAGAATAGCCGAAACCTGAGTGATCAGG